GAGAGAGAGAGAGAGAGAGAGAGAGGCAGAGAGAGAGACAGGTACAGAAAGAGACAGAGACAGACAAGGAGAGAGAAACAGAGAGACAGATGGACAGGGAAAGAGAGACAGAGACAGAAACAGAGGGGTGTGTGTGTGTGTGTGTGCGCGCGCGCGCGCGCACATGGGAAGATTCAGTGCAAATGTTCAAGGTTTGCTTTTAAGTACTATAAGAAAAAGTTAATGCAGTTGCTAGCCATATATATATCTTTTTTTTTTTCTTTTTTTCAGAACTGAGGATTGAACTTAGGCCCTTGCGCTTGCCAGAGAAGCACTTATTCCAGCCACCAATATTATAAGAAGAGAAACTTCATGTCAAAGTGCAGTATAGCATAATTTTGTAACTCAAGTAAGCAATATACAAATATGCAGTTAATCTTCTATTTTTAAAATAGCACTATCCTCTCTCATTATACAAGGTTTAATTCAAATAAAATATTTGACTCGGCATAGTGGTGAAACCTTTATAAATATTTCTTGTCACTTGGCTCTGCTATTATTTTGCAACCTGGTCAAGCGTTTGGTCACTCTGAGCTGGTGTGCTAAAGTGGTTTTGAGGTTTTATAAGCCGTTGCCACTTGGAGGAACTTAGTACGTGTCAGCTTCCTGCTGTCTGCCAAGCCCTCCTGGGCTCTGAAGACCTCCTGCAGAATATCCCCACGTCATAGCAGTCCTGCGGTTCGAAAGAATCCCTGTTGGATAGCCCGTCTCTTCTCTGCACCTCACTCTGAGAAATCCAACTCTTTAAGGTAAGCGTGAAAGACTGGGCAGGCGAATGACCCTGATGCAGAAGGCAGGCACGTTGGGCTAGTCAGGCGGCTTCCATTTCAGCATCTTCAGATGAGCTTGCTAAAAAAAGCAGACTTATTTACTGTGACCACAGCTCTTCCACTGTAAAAAGACCATTGTTCTTCTCTTTCCAGAGGTGTGTACTTAGAAACCTTTGAAGAAGTATATTCAAAATGGCATAGGAAATAATAGCTACTATTATTCTTTCCATTCCAGTTGTAAAGTACTGCAGAAAAGGAAGAATTTGAAAATGCCTCTTAAAATTTAAGTAAAAGTTAGAAACATTTGTTCAAGCAATTTTACTTTAAGAAAAATTCCTGTTACATTATTATTTCTTGCTTATAGAAACCAGTATACTTTAAATACATTGGGTGAAATATAGCACAACATTTAAAAAGTCAGTGATCACATTACATGAATTTATTATTTCTCTATAGAACTGTTTTTGATACGTACCTGAATTTTCTAAGCTTCAGCTTCCTATACAACTGCATAATTATTTATCTAAAAAGTTATTTACTAGGAATCCCTGTTTTGTAACTATTTTTGTTTGTACTGGGGTTAAACCAATCAACCAGTTTTTCCATAAGCTAGTCAATCAACAGGAATAATTGGAAGAAATGTGGATGAGGAATCAAGTTATATGAATGTCAGTCTTTTTCTAGTAACTGGATAAATATTTGGGGCACTATTAGCTCACTATCTTAGAACAAAAGTTTGGCAAGTTTCCCTAAAGGTAGGCTGCATAGCAAATATTTCAGTCTTAGCAGGGTAAAGAATAAGACTGAAGAGGGTGCATAGATACTTGCATAGCTATTTAAAAATGTGATCATTTAAAAATATAAAACCCATTTTTAGCTCACAGATTGAACCAAAGTAAGAAAGTGCACCGAACTCAGTGCAGGGGCCATCGTCTCCCTACTACTACTCTACGCAGTAATCTTCAGTGCTGTAAAATCAAAGCTAGAGCAAGTAGAGCTGCTCAACTTGGGCACTGTCAGTGTGAGTGTATGTAAATACATGTGTTTGGTAAGTGAGGGAAGTACACAAAGATTTTATTCATATTTTTAAAGTGGTTACCAATCTAATTATGGTGAAATATATAGGACTAGCTGATTTGTAATACGTACCTATGTAATGTTTGTTGATATCTTCCATGTATAATCCTTTGTGATAATGCTGTAAGAAATATGAATATTATAACTGAAATAACATGTGAAAATATTTTTTAAAAAAGGTTAGAATATGTGCAAATCAGTGATGACCTTCAAATAACCTTAAGAAAAACTTCATTGATCAAATACTTCCAAAATATTACTTTGCAAATTATTTTCAAAGCTAGATCACAAATTATGTCAGATATTTGCAAGCTTTTTTTTTTATCATTCCACCTTATTTTGGAAGTTGGTGGTATCTTTGGCAACACTGAAAATCCAGCAATATAAAAGAAGAGTCTCTTTCATAACATTGAGATCTGCTTAAGGCAGGATTTATGCCTTTCCCACCTTTGTCATCTAGAACAGCATTTGGAACACAGTGAGTAGCCAACATCTGTGAAAGAGATCTGTGCGTGAGCGAAAAGAGAAAGACATCAACACTGATATTGTGTGATATTGAAAGCTCAGAGCCCTAAATGTTCCAAAACTGTGATTTCTAAGTTCAAAGATAGCTTTGTGTTTGAAATTTGGATGTAACGGTGATTCTACGTTACTTGGCTAACTGAATATTGCAGGTCTTGAGGATTAAGTCACTTTTGAAAAGCTAAGACAGTTGCCGAAGTTGATTCAAGTGAGAGAGGTGTCTTGCAAAGCTGCTAGCAACCTACTTTCTGGGATGGGTGACGACAAAGGGAAGTTTTGCTAACTGCATTCAGTATCTGAGCTCTTCTGGCTCTGAGTTGGTTGGAGGAGATAGAGCTAGAGTGTAGTGAAAAAAAATGGTATGATTTTCTGAACAATCCCAGAATCTTACACATTGAATCAAGGGCACCATGTCATTCCTTGCTAGAGAAGCTCAGCCTGGGCTCTGTCGTCTGACGCACTGAGGATGCTACAAAACTGGGATTTCCCAGTTTCCTCACAGAACAGGGAAGTGTCTCTTCTCTTTTCAGGAGTAATCTCATTACAAAATAAAAAGAAAATCTACAGTATCTAATTTATGGCTCCCACACTTCTTGGAGGAAATTTAAATGTTAAGATTTTATAATGTTAGAAAATGCTAAAAAATATCCTACACAATCCTGTACGTGTCTGGTGTGATGCCTGTAACCTCCAAAGAAGAGTTCAGGTCACCTCCCTACCTGCCTACTCCCACAGCCTCTGACCCAGAAGCTATTGGGGGACTAGTAATTCCCCATACATTTACCTTGGTATGGAATTTTCCCAAAAATCTTTGGAGTAGCCTCTGTATTAAATAACACCCTTTGTTTGTCAGGATAGTGGTTATACTGAGGATCTAGTCCTGAATCTCCTTGAGATGAAGATCCATCTCAGGTATCATCCAAAACCCCAAATTTTTATTAATGGGACTCCAAATTCTCAACTCAAATATAACTCATGGTCCAGGATCTCACTGAAATAGTGATAAGAAGCTGAATCTCTCCCTGAGGATTTCAGAAACTCCCTGGGCAGTGCACGTGGATTCTATAGATCCAGGAAGGGATAGCTGGTGTCCCTCTCACTCTGACTCCTGTTCTGAGTGCTGTCTCTTTCCTGGTGACGTCTATACCTCTCAGCTAAACTTTACTCCAAAAGATGGCCTAAGTCCCTTTGGCTCCCTCTCAAACACCACTAACCAAAATCTGGCATAGGCTTTTTTTCCCCCTGAAAATTTGTTGAAGGACCATATTGCAGATCACTTAGGTTCTGTGAGTCACAATCTTTGTTGCAATGAATTTGCTTCAGAGTTGTGATAAAAGAAGAGCCACTGACAACCCACAAATTAATAGGTATTGTTAGGCTCTGATAAAACACTTGATAAATCAAGTGGCCCCTATGGGCTGACTTGTTGGACCTTATAGTATGTCGGGCACCTAAAGACAATTAAAATAATTACAGTGTAATAGAGAGAACATAATATTCAAAGTTAGAAGAAGCTTCTAGAAGTAACAATGCTGCTTCCTCCTGGAATCCCGGGCTTCCATGTTAGCCCTGGTGAGAGGTCATGCTGCTGAGGCTTACTCAGATTCCTGGCTAGAAGCCTTCACTTGTTCTGGCCTTCACTTACAAGATTTCAGGTTTTACCCCACCACCCTCATATGTGAAGCCTCAGCTAGGGGAGGTCAAAAACAAGCTCACTTCACAGTCATCTCTGACAATACGGAGAAAGATGGTCTCTCTAAGTCTGAAGGAGCTCCAGTATTTCAAATGATGCTCATGAACCATTCTACTGCTTAAAAAGGCTCACAAAAGTCATCCCTTCTTCCTTAAATAGAGGGCCTATCGTGAAGGCAAAGTTCTTTTTTATCTGTCCCATTTTTATTACTTTTGCCACAAAATATAAGACATGATAAAAAATATAGTGCATGCTTAAATTTATTACAGTAAGAGACCTCCTGCCACTGCTCCCCCTCAACATAACGCCCCCTGGTTCCAATACATGCATCCCATTGTTCTTGCTACTTTCTGAAGCAGTTCTGAAGTCATCCTTCATGAGTGTCTTTATGAGGTATGATTAAAAATACAGTGAACTCTGCTCCTGAGGTCCCCTCAGGAGAAAGCAGGGGTTCTAAAATCTGACTCATGGCTGGGGAGATGGCTCAGCAGAACAAGTGCTTGCCTGGCAAGTACAAGGGCCTGAGTTCAATCCCTTGTTCTGCCAAAAAAATAAAATCTGATTCACAAGATCTGGCACTGTGCAACCCTGGCTCTCCCTCAAAGTGAAAATGACCCTGGAAAAGTACACATTTCAAATTGTTTCAGGACACTGAGGAAGCCAGGACAGTTCAACTAAAGACACTCCGTGGAAAGGGCTCCAAGAGCTGCTTCAGAAGAGGCCTGAGTGATGGGATGAGTGTTTTCAAAGTGACAGGGAAGATTTTAAGAGGGATTAATGGTAATGTGTCCTTTACTGTAATAAGCTTTTAAGACTTGAGCATTCCGTGTGTACTTTGATCATACTTTGCACATAAAATTTACTATTTCAAACATTCTTGCTTGTAGGTGAGTAGCTTAAGAACATTGATTTTGTTTTAGAACTAACATCATCATCCATTTCCAGATTGTATTTACCATCTCATAATGAAATTTACTGGATTAAGTAATCACTTCTATTTTCTTATTCCTCAGGCCCTAGAATTCTCCATTCTATTTTCAGTCTCTGTGAATTTGACTACCTTAGATCTTCTGTATAAATGAGTTCTTGTAGTATTTGTTCTTTTTATATAGACTGTCCACCCCCAACCCCCTCCCCTGGGATGTTGTCGGTGCCAGGCAGGCGCTCATGCTACTGAGCTATATCCCCAGCCCGAAAGATAAATTTTTGCTTGTCTTCTCAGAATCACATGAATAAAAATTACCCATATTTCCTGTTTTCCAGCTATGTATGGTGTGGAAAATTGGAATCTGGTCTGAGACCATCACACTGGATACTTCTCATGTATTATCTCCCACTATTCTCTGACCTGCTGCCCTACAGGCAGATAGTGTACATTCTCTCCTCGTAATGTCCTGATGGATGCCTGCAGTGCGACCACTGTATTGGACTTTGTGGCCCTCCCAGTCATCAGACCCAGCACAAAGACTCCTGATAGAAATAGACACAATTGATCTCCTCTCTGTGTCATTCCTCACAATGACACACACATGGTGCTTCTTCGCTGCTTTGTACCACAGGTGATTCTGATGCAGCCTTTGTCTTTTGGTTGTCACCTGTTTGCAGTCTAGAGGTAGTGGCTACAGGCCTGAGTACAGTATTTGTTCTATGCAATGACTTCACATAGATACTTATACGTGAGATACAG